AAGAAAGAAAGAAAGAAAGAAAGAAAGAAAGAAAGAAAGAAAGAAAGAAAGAAAGAAAGAAAGAAAGAAAGAAAGAAAGAAAGAAAGAAAGAAATGTACAAAGTTTAAACTAAACCCTGGGTAAGGCAAGTTACATAAATCTGTAAACAAGCCACTCAAAATGATGAAATTGAACCATGAGGAACTTTTGTGTCTTTATCTCTCATAGGTAACCATGATAAAAAATGCTGGGTAAGATGCTGTTTAGTCTTATTGGCTCAAGTCACATAGCTCTTGGGTGAATCATAAGTAGCAAGTAATCATCCAGAATTTTCCCTTTTGCATCATTTCCCTTCTGCGTCTTTCTCGTATAGAGGGAAACCCCAAAAGGAACTGGAAAGTAATTTAAAGAAATCCAAAAGAAACCAACCAGGAGGAGTAAACTGATTGCCCTATTTTGCCTTCCAGAACAGTGGGAAGAATGAAAGAGATGGCAGGTGGGAACGGGCAAACTGAATATCTCAGATTACTGTGCAAGGAATCTCATATAACTGGATACCAATCCAACCTTTGATGACTTAACAGTGGCCACGTCTATGACTCTCATTCCCGCCCTTATACTTCTCAGCCTCTTTGCATTATGGATAAGCAATAGCATGGCCCTAAGCCTTGTGAACAAGGTCTCAAACTACCCCTGGGCCCAGTCACCTAAATCAGAGCTCTCTTTCCACGAACAACAGTAAAATGATCCAGTTACCTTGGGTCCCCAATGCTGGAGCATTTCAAAAACAAGCACAACAATAACAACCACATTACAGCATACCCCAACCAGCCAATGTTACACTCCAAATTTTATTCAGTTTACTAAAAGAACTAGGGATGACTCAGTAAAATGCCAAGTTAGGGCTTTTGCAGTCATGAATATATATATATATAAAAGAAATACACGTGTCTTAACAATGACAAGATGCTGACTGCCAAAAAATGAAGGGGTTGCTATTGTCTATTAATAATACTTTATAAAAAATATTGTAGGGTACATAAAATATATGCAAATAAAACTGTTCAAATTGACAAATTTGAAATTGATTTATCTTATTTATATATAACATAGAACACAGCACATCTTGAAATAGAAAATGCTTTGTTTTAAATCTTGAGCCCTTTATTTACTACAATGCAGAACATTTTATTTTTAGATATCAGTGGGCTTTATTTTGTTGACATTTTCACTTATTCAACTGAAAGCAAATGTCAGGAAAATCAGGTGGTGACTAGTAGTAATGTATCAGCAAATCAGAGCAAGTACATTCCATTCTTTGGACTGATCGTGCAGTCAGTAAAGATTTTCTCACTGCCTGATAAGTAAGACGGGTTAATACTCACCAAATAGCATCAGTAGAGGAATTCTCTAGAAATAATTAAAGACTTTTCATTTTATACATAGACTAGTAACAGAATATCACTGGTACACATCAGTTCATTAGATCTGCTGATCCCAAATTGCTCAGAGATCCAAAAACATGTTTGTTTTCAGATGTGGTGCAACAGTTTCTAAATTTTTGTTCTAAAATTTTTGTTCATGCTCAATAAACTAACATGTCACCCAGACACACCTTAGCTTCACATGTGACAGATATGTGGATGTGTCCATCATACACACATACATAATTAGGAACTGCAGGGAAAAGCAGAGATGACAGGAGTCATTTGTTTCTTTGGTTATGCTCTAGAGACAAGTATGTATTTCTTGATAACTAGCCAATCAGTTTTGGAAATAACACCAGACCATGACCCGATAGAGCCTAACGGCCTATCCCTCGCTTGACATGCACCATTAGGGCCTGTCGCCAATCACCAGCCATCTCTCTAGGCATGCATTCCTGGTTTTGGAACCATGAATTGCCCCTAGAGAAGTCTTTTCTTCTCCAGCAAAGTATTCCAACTCAACTGCAAATCCTGATTCAAAGCTAAAATTAGTGCAGGCAGGCAATATAGGTTTCTTAGAAAACTTCCTTAAAAATGACAAATGTTTGTGATGTTAAAACCACCCAGTATGTCTGCATGCTGCCTTATTTAAATTAAAAACACCTGGTTTATTTATACAATGTATCCAATGGATTACAGATTAGGATCCTAGAAATAATACATGTCTTATAGCAAAAAATATACATATAATTATCCATCTCTAGCTTATATAAATGATGAAATGTTTCTGAATATATCTATATATCTATATATATATGTACACATATATACTCTGTGTGTGTGTGTGTGTAATTGCAGAATCAGCACACAAATATTGCAGTCCTTCATTGGCTCTTCCACTTCAGTGTCAAGGACACCAGGTTTCAAAGTCTTAAGGAGCAGAACAAAGGTCACCGCTGAGGACAAAGGACTGGCTTGATGCACCTTCCCTTGTGCAGGACCAAGTTTGCTGGACAGTGGCAGCCTGCAACACACGGCTTATTGCATGGCCCGATCTCATTCCAGTTGTCACAGGTCTTGGCACATCCTGGGCCGCAGGTATCATACACAGCACCGTGCTTACACTGGGTGGCTGAACAAAAAGAGCCAGAGATGAGACCAAGAGAAATGGCCACATTAACTCACCCTCAGCCCAACACCATTTCTGTAGGCTCCGGCCACTCACTGCATAGACCTTCACAGGGCACAGTTTGACTTTGCATTTTAACAAAGGGATAACAAACAGCCAATATTCCCCAGATATTCTGGGAATCACTGATACTGGAGCAAAGAAGATCGAAGGTTCACCTCCTGGGCCAGCGAACTTCAAAGTGAAAGAAAATGAAAGCGTAGTTTATGCCTACATAAGACAAACTGCACTTTAGTAAAGCAACAAGAAAATCTATAAGGTTATTTAGTTATTGAGACTAGTAAGAAAAATTAACTCCAAATCATTCTTCTAGTTATTGGGCTATGATGAATAGGAAAATTTGTGCAACAACATCAATATTCAAGTGTATGGAATTACATATAGAGTAAAAATCCTGTTAAGGATATTGGAAATGTGTGATAAATTTTAATCACAGTGACCCTGTATTGAGTTAATCAATTTGAGGCAAGTTAGAGCAAGAGTGGGGTAAAATTAAAAAGAGAAAAATCAGATGTGCAATTAGAGGAGGGATGTGTCTCCCTGCTTGGGCCAGAGAATATAAAAAGGATGATTTAGCCAAATCATAATCAATGTGCTATCTTTGCTAAATTAGAGATAAAATTATCTTGACAATATTTTGAGTTTCTAAGAATTTGTAAAGAGAGTAGTCAGAAAGAAAAGAATACAAACATTCTGGATGTCTTGTGACACACTGATTTCCATCTGAATTATTTCTAGTGATAAAAAGCCCATCCCTCAGCTTCATGAGTAGGGACGTTAACACATGTAGATATTAGAGGAGGGTCTCTAATAGTGGGAATTCCAGTAAAACCTAGTCTTCAGTTGAAGCTTTAAACAAAAGCATGGAAGATCTTCATCTGTTTGGTTACTTCTATTGTTGTTTATGCAGTTTGCCTAAGAATGCCTAACAAAGAATCATGTAATTGCAAAACAGAAAAATTGAACTGGTTTTCAAGCAAGTGAAAGATCTCAAATCTTTCAAGGTATGCGAACAATTACCTCTGAATGTTTGTGTTTGACCATGCCTAACACACCATGAGTTAGTAAAAAGCCTAGAGAGGTATTTAACATCACTCTTTCATGAGCTGAAGTGTGCTATGATAAAAACAGACACAGCTCTATAGATACAGATATAATAATGCGATGCTGTTTGATGGCAAACAAAAAATAAAAACACTTAACCTTTGTCTCTAGTTCTTGGTTCACAGCTTCTAAAACCCTTGGAGTCCCAGAATGAGAGTGTATTTAGTATGCTAAAGACTGGGTGGTGGCTAAGGGTCCCTGGAGGGCTGCAGAGAGGGAGCTGGTCTCCAGAAATATGAGGACATGATCAAAGGATTTGAAATTGTAGCCCCAACCCTAACCACCAGAAGGGGAGTGGGTTTGGATGTTGAGTTAATCCCCAATGGCCAGTGAAATCTCCTGAAATTCCTTAAGAAATCCCTGATTAACAAATGATGGGGTTCTGAAAGTTACAGAATTGGTGAACCCATTGAGGTGCTGACTCCGTTGGTCAGAAGCTCCTGTGGCCCTCATCACTAGACTTCATCTGTACCCTCATAACAAACCAGCAGTATCAATAAAGAGTGTGTTTTCCAGAGTTCTGTGGGTCACACTAGCAGCTATTGGGCCCTTAAAGAAAAAAGGATATAAGAATTTCCCTCCACCCCACTTTCCTAGCCAAGTCTTGCAGAAGTAGGGGCAACCTTGGAACACCATACGTGCAAGTGATATCTGAAATGAAGGCAGGCTCCTGGGACTGAGCCCTTGACATTGTAGAGTCTGACGCTGACTCTGCATAGTGTCAGAATTGAATTTGATCATAGAACACCCACTGGGTCTCTTGGGGGTTGAAGATAAAGCCCAGCATATTTGGTGTCAAGGTATTTGGAATAAAAATAGTTCATTACCAAGGTACTGAACTTTTCCATATTATTTCTTATAGCCCACTGATACCTGCTAAAGTAGTCCATCTATCAAACTTGCCTCAGTCGGTCATTTTACCTATGCCATTTGTTTTCTGCCAGGACCCTAACCAATATATTGGTTCCATAAAAAGTTACTACTAAATTGTTTCAACTTTTTATAATTTAATTCCATTCTTTAGGCTACCAGCCTTCTCCTGTAGTTGAGTCAGTCCTCAAGACCCGTCCTCTGTCTTGATCTAGTGCCATTATAAGTGAATGTCAATCATCCATTCCTTGTTTCCCAGAAACCTAATCACTGAGCTATTTATTCTATAGTTATATGGAAAAGCGGCTGGGTCGCCCTTTAAATCTCACCTTGTGTTTCCCTGATAATATTTATCTTTCCATTGACCCTTTGAAGTCCTTCCATTTTCTCTTTTCAATGACAGAAAAACCTAAACATTGTGCACACCAATCATTTGGAAACATCCTAGCTAAATACCATATTTACACACAATAACTTCATCCAGGTGTTGTTACATCTCTACAGAACCTGGAAATTAGAATTTGTTTCAGTTTCCAGATACCTATACACCAAGCCAGATCAATTATAATAAAACTTCTGAAGGTGGGATTGATTAGCAGTCATTCTGTAAAATGCCCTACAGCACATGTGATTTTAATGTGCAGTCAAGATTGGGAACCGGTCCTATAAACAACAGTCTCATTCATGCTTTCGGACTTAAGCTTCTTTAGCCAACTAGAAGATAACTAATATTTCCAAAGTGCAAAATGATATACAATGGAACATCCTACTATTCCTCCCCGTCATCTTCTACCAAAAACCCTACTGGAATTTCTCCCTTAGTTCCAGAGCACGCATCCCCTCTCACTGGTGGATTGATGTCACCTACAAGACTGTCCTTAATTCATTTCCCTACACTCTGTCCTCCTCATTTGCATCCACCCTGTAATTGTCAATCCTGTTTTCTGACCCATCTTTTCCAGGAATTTACTCCATGTAATATACCTTCCTCTCTCTTTTGCACCATCTTTTCAATAGTAGGAACATTTATAGTCATTAATGAAAATTTTGGTGAAACAAATCTGGAAAAGTGGTGAAGAAGACAAGTCACAGTGTTGATAACAGCAGATGACAAGCATAAAGAGTAAGTGAACTATGACTTTTGGAGGAAGAAGAAAGTCAGTCATAGGTTAAACAATTTTTTGGGTTTTGTGAAAGATTAGTGTTGATCTGAAAATATCATTGACATATTGGCAATCCCTATGATCCCAAAACTTCCCCATAATCTTTATGTCCATTTTATCTTACTGACACTGAACTCTCCAAGTTCTGCTACTGCCTTGAGAATACCTTCTTTCTAACAGGTTTCTTTGGCTATGTTCTAGCATGAAATATTCACATTACCTTTAACATCCTCCCTCTCCCTTCCTTCTATTCCTCTTCTTCCTTCCTCTTCCTCCTCCTTTTCTTCCTGTCCTCCACTCTTAACTCCTTCACTCTCTCCCTCTATCAGTAACACAATTTTATCATTAACTTCCCATGAAAGAGCTCTGAAAAACTCCTCTGGAATCTAATACCTACATTTGGATTCTCTTTTCAACTAATCATTTCCTAAGTTATCTCTTTCAGGAAGCTTCTGGGATCTCCCCTGGATACCCTTCCCTCCTCTGCCTAGATTCCAAAATTACAATGTAATTATAGGTCTTAATCAAAGATATTCATTAGAATCCTTTGACAACCTTTTAAATGCTATATACTTCTTGTTTCCATTCCTTCAGATGTTTGCTGTGGGCTGCAGTGGGAGCTGGGTAGCTATTGATTTAGAGTTCCAGGTCACTATGACAAGCACCCCATATTGAAGAGTGAGAACTCCTGAGACCTGGGTCCTGAAGGCAGAGTCCTTGTTTTTGTGACCCAAAATCCTGCCTGACATTGGACCAAGCACAGGGGAGCAATTCAATAAATGCCTGTTGGATGAGGATTTAATTTTAATGACATTCAATGCATCATTCCATTTCCCAGTGTGGATTAAATTTGGCTGGCCTTGAACTCGATTTTCACTCTGCTCCTTCCAGAATGCTTCTTTTCAACTTATTTTATCCTCCAGATACCTTGCTCCCCTTCATATCCTACAAAAATCCCTTCGGTATGAAAATTTAGCAGAATTTTCTCTTTCCCAACTGGCTTTTTTTTCTTTTTCCCTCATTGTTTTCTAGACATAAACTCTTTCATATACTCTTTTATTTCTGACTTTTTAAGTTTTTCTTCTAGTTTAACCACCTAACTTACTAATTGTCTTCTGTTATAGCATGCCTTTTACTGTTGAAACTCATATTTCATTTACGATCTACAGGAATCCTTTACAATCTACAAGAATGTAAATAGAATGTAGAAAAACTGCTGGAGAAAGAAGATATTTTCTCTAGTATTCACCTTAATAGTACAAATGAAGCCTCCACTTCAATTTAAATTAAGTCGATAAACAACCACTAAGTATCTACTATGTGCCTGGAATCCGCTTAGGCCAGGAAATCAAATGTGAATCAGATATCAACCCTCGCCTCTAATTACAGGAGCCAGGAGTTACAACTAAGTAGATACAGTTGACATGGGAAGATTGTCCATAAAATGCAAAATGTTAAACAAGGAAAACAAAGCAGAGTGAGAGAATGAGAGAGAACAAAACTTAACGTTGAGGGTGAGGTAGGATCCAGGAAGATACAAAAGAATAGATCCCACTTGTGGCTTAAAAGGCGAGTCAAACTGGCAGGCAACAGCAACAAATGACCCAGGGACTGTGAGCTGCAAAGGTAGAGAAGACCAACACGTGGTCCATGGTGCAGTCAAGTAAAGGAGGATCCCTGGTGCCTGGGCATGGACCTGAGGAGGGAAAATAAAGGAGACAACGGCACAGGAGGAGGCAGAGGCTGCACGTCTTGGTAAAGTAGGCATTAGAAGGGTTTCATTGGGGAAAGACAGGACCAGATTTGCCTTCAAGTTGGCACAACTTAGAGAATACTAGAAAGTTAATACTGACCTAGAGCTTGTTTTCCCTTCTGGAATTCAATGGCTTATGAAATTTATAAATGCTGAAAGATAAGTTTTTAATATAAAAGTGCTACATCTTGGGCCTTCGCTAGTGGAACAAGGGGTTAAAGTGCAGCACTATGAAGCTATCTGCAACCACTGCAGCACCAGTTTGACTCACATTGCAGAGCAGACCTCTCCTGTCTGTCCCTCTGCTCCCCTCAGCAGTGTACTGCACTAGAACTACATGTCTCTTTTTACCCCACGCACCTCTGGTCTGTACCCCAGTTCTTGTATGCATAAATAAATAAATCTTCCTTAAAAAGTGATACAATTTGCACAAAACACCTTAAAAATATTTACTTGGTTAAGTATATATTTTTTAAATAACAGGAAACTACCAGACTTGCTCCGGCCAGCAAATATCTACCCTCATGGGGACACATGGAAGTTACTACATAATGCATGCAAGTATCAGTTTGTGTTACTTTATGGAGTAACTCACATAGGCACTTTATCAACAAATTCAGTAAGTGTGATCCTGTGGCCTGTGGAAATCACCCTCCACCCAGTGGGTGCTGAACACCACAGTACTGACTTTATGTTCTAAACTTTGATGAGAGGCATCCAGTTTGCCAAGGAAAAGCTCAAGAGTATGTGTATGACTGGGGAAGTGATATGGTAGCAAAAAGGCTACAAATATGTGGCCTTTACAGAGAAAACACCTGAAATTTATAGAGGAACACAAGGAAGGCATTGCTCATTCTCACAGAACACAGTGTGCTGTAGAAACACACACACACACACATCACTCTGAATATCTTAGCACCTTTCACCTATAAAAGCATTACTGAAAGTGCAGTGACAATAAGTGTCATACAGAAGGTGGCAGAAAATCCACTATGGATAGCAAAGTAAGAGGCTGAAGCAAGGGTATAGCAAGTTGCAGAAGTAGAAGTTACTTCCACAATAACAAGTAAGAATTTCCAATAACAAGTAACAGATGAATAGAAATTGGAAAGTCACTAAGGCTAATAAAAATCTCGACAAGTATTTGCACACACTGTTTGAAGCTTATCTAAATCTATAAACAAACATATATTCATATTTAAGTAGATTTTTTAAAATGCTTGCCTGGGTAATCCTAATGATTAAAAACAGAGGTTATCTCAAAATTGACTTGGGTGGATTCTGAGATTTTTTTGCTTTCTAGTTCTGTATCTTTTAGCCAGTTACCAATATTCTAAGCAATATTGTCTTCATCAGTAGTAGATAGGTTATAGAAAGTTACCATATAGAATTTAACAGGTATTAAATAAGGGAAAATGTAATATAAAGAGCTAGTGTATGTTTCAGGCACAGGATGTCCTTAGAAAAAGATAAATAATACAAGTCATTTCTATACTTGTACAGAACTTCACAATAGTCATTTGCATATTGTATATTTACCAATAATTTACAGGTGAAAATGGGGCTCAGTCCTTCTTGTCACAGTTAGTGGGCTCACACTTTGTATTGGTAGCCGTGATAGTGTTAAAATTCAGGCTGAATGTGGAAATACCACTTGTTCATTCAGTTTCTCACCTGGAAGGCTTCTTGTTTAAAGCTCTTTGCCCTGGAAAATTTCTCTCCTCTGTATTCTCTGTATTAAATGGCCTTCTCTGCACAGTCATAATTCAAAAGATCTGGGAGCTAAAATCAAGTAAAGATTGTTCTTATAGTTGTCAGTCTTCCAGATGAATCAGAACTGAATCTACTGGTTCATCTGCCTATCTCTGTAAATTTCTGAAAGAGAGGGAGAGAGAGAGAGAGAGAGAGAGGGAGAGAGGGAGAGAGGGAGAGAGAGTGAGAGAGCGAGAGAGAGACAGAGAGAGAGAGAGAGAGAGAGAGAGAGAGAGGTTTCCCTGCAGCCACACACTGACAGAGTTACACTTCATTCAGAGGTTCTACTAATTTTAAGTGGTAAATGGAAGATTTCAGGAACTAGATTCCTTTTCCATCAAAAATGTAATTTTAGCTTGTGAGATTCAGTTCCTGAAATCAGTGTGCTGAGATAAAATGTGGACTCTTCAATTGCCATGTGTGCACTAGAATGATGCTCAATTAACCATGGGCCAGGGGAGAGTGTGCATGTGTTCTGAATCCACTCTGATCTCAACTCTGGCAGCACCCTAGTTAATAAATTAGTGATGTTCGACTGAGCCCTATGTTTCAGCAGGATGGAAGGATGGGGTTGGACACCATATATCTCATTCAATTTTTTAAAGGAAGGAGGACTCTTCATGGGGAAAGAGAACAAAGAGTATATGCTGGAAGAATCTAGCCTTTGTCACTGCCACCATTTCTACATTGCCCCACTCTGATTCGGAGTTAGCAGTAAGTCATTCAGTCTCATTTTTAGGAGCCTGATTGATTTTTCAGCACATCAATACTCCTCTAAGAAAGAAGAATTGATAGAGAAGCATGCTTGCTGCAGAAAGTGAACTCAGATATAAAGACTGAATTTGAGTTTTTAAAGAAAAGGACAAATCCAAAAGGGAAGTCAAGGAGATAAAAAGATCTTGGTGTTTCTCAAGGACACAGACTAGTGACTGTATCAAGGGGCAACTTGAGGAGGCTTTAGTAGCCCCAGGATACCCATCAACCTTCCCCCCCTTGTGAACCCAAATAAACACACCAATTAACTCAGTGGTTTCAACTCTGGCTGCAGGTCAGAATTACCCGAGAGGTTTTAAAAGATACAGTCCGCCAATTAAAGCAGGATATCTGGGCGTGAGGCCCAGCAAAGGTTTCTGGTTTATTTGTAAGTTCCTGGAGTGACACCAGTGTCCTGCCAGGTCAAGATTTTCCGGTCTAGATGAACGAAACATCTAGATGAACACAGCTTCCAAGCGATGCTCCTCCTTGATGGCAGTTCCAGCCAGAACACTGTTGCTTCCTCCCACCAACATAGACCTTCTAAGTCAGAAATGGCAGGACCTGCTACTTTTCCTATACTAGAGCGTAGGCTATTAGGCTTTGTGTAGAATAGTACACAAATCCCTCTCTTTACTCCAAACAAAACTGGCCCTTTACAGCAAAAAGTTTGTCAAGCCTTGAAGTAGGTAACAGATATTTTTTGGTCAACTAATCTGCCAAATTTACTACTAAGAACTGAGTTCCTCCATGAAATGGATACTTTTCTAGGTGTTTCGCACACACATCAGTAATGCTTATAACTGCAGAGTAGATATTATCGTAAAATTCCAAATTGTATCTCCACTCTCTCTTCTCTCTCCGGATGCTGCTTCTACTTTGCTTCAAGCTACTGTCATTTATTCACAACTTCTGCATTAGATAACTACCTGGTTAACTTGCCCCATCTAATTATCTTCTACAGAGCCACCAGGGTGAAAAAGCAGAAAGAAGTCTGCTTACAACCCACCAGAGGGGGCCTTCCCTGGTGGCACAACAGGTTAAGGCACAGCACCACAAAGATAGCTGCAGCCACTTCGCAAGTTCAATCCCTGGCCCCGGAGGTGACCCACACAGTACCGCAGACTTCTCCTGACCCACCTGTTGCTCCCCTCAGCAGTGTACTTCCTTGACCTGCCTGTTCTGCTCCCCACTCTGTCTCTGGTGAATCCTCTCAACACCCCTGCACCTCTGGCTTGTACCCCAGTTCTATATGCATAAATAATATTAAAAACAAAACAAAAACCACCAGAGGCCCCAATCCTCCCCCAAGACTGGCAATGCCCGGCATGATCCAGCTCCTGTTTCTACTCCTTCTGTACCATGTGTTCTCCGTGCCTTCCTGCAACGTGCCCAAGTCACTAGCTCTCTCCCATTTCCAGTGTGCTATTCTTTCCTACCTGAAGCCTAAAAACAGTTTCTTCCGTATGGACTACTTGCTTTGACACTCTTCAATGCTTCAGGGTCCAGCTGAAATATCACCTCCAGAGAGAAGCCTTCCCTCCTCACATCTGAGTTGCTACCCACTCCAGTTATTTCCTATTGCTCTGCCATATTCCTTTCCCTCCTCACATTTATCATAGTTTGTAAGCATTTGTTTAGAGTTACTGTTTTTATGCAGTTTCTCCATTGGACTGCCAGCAACTTAATGACAGTGTCTTCATCTCCCAAGTACTCACAATGCTTAGCACAATGCCCAGCACTTACCCACTTACAAAATAAGTATTTTCTTGGATGAGTAAGTCCATTTTACAGATATAAAATAAGCTTATTAACTTTCCTGAGATCAAAAAGCTTTAGCAACTATTACAGCAATTTATCTCCTAGAGGGGAAAGAACATAAAGAACATCTTGCTAGATTTATGAACCCATAAAAAAAATCACACATCCTGAAGACCTTAAATGACTGTAATTGTCCTGAATCTCTTGCTCCGCACATAACCTAAGTCACAGCTGTCCATGTGCTGAGTACATCCAGCTGGTGGCTTGAGGTTGGGAGGATTTTGCAACAGTGGAAATCCTTAAATTGTTCAAATGTGCTTGTCCCAGAGCATTGCTCTTAAGTGCTTTCTATCTTGGCCCATGGGAAGTCCCTGTGTTCTGTCAAGTTATAAAGGGATTTTTCTCTGGTTCATTCCATCAGCAAGTCTCTTTCATTGCCATCCTGGGCACTGCAGTGACCTGGTAAGGGATGGGTCCTCCATGAACCTCTCACCTGCACAGTTCTGCTGAGGCTCCCAGTGAACGCTGATGCCCTCTCGCTGGCAGGCTCGTGTATATGCCAGGAATGACTCACAGTAGCAGTTTTTATGAACTGGACATTCACACATGTCTGTCACGCAAGACCTACAAGACCAAAAGAGGGAGACATGAACGGTTAATTGTAACAAATGATCAGACACACTGAACATGACCTGCAGAAAAGAGTGGGTAGGTGGATGAGAAACCTTGAACGTCCATTAAAGGTTGCAACTTAAGGTTCGGAACTAAAACTGACATAAAAATTCCACCTGAAATCTGTGCTGAATACCCTAAACAATGTGATACAGACTCCTTGTATTATAGAGCTATGCAATAGACATTCTGCAATGAAAGAAATTGTCTATAATCCCCACTATCCAAAACAGTAACTGACATCCACTATGGACACAGACTAGCTAGAACGATCTAGTGTGATGAGAAAATGAATCATTCTAGATTTACTTGATTTAATTTTAATTAAAATAGATGTAAACAGCCTCATGTGTCACATATTCTGAAAAGGCAGGTTTTAGAATCTGGCCGCAATTCAATGAACTGTTCTTTTCTGATTAACTCTGATACAAGAATAGGTTCTACTATAGTATAACCAAAATAGTGACTATCTTGATTAAAGTGTAAAGCCATGATTTTTCGAAGACAAAGAATTTTCTTCTGCAGTAACATAGTCTCAATAACTTAAAGCATACTGAAATTTATTTGTAGAATTGGTGTGAAAAATTCCAAATAAAGCAAACTTCAGACTCTCATAATTAAGCTAAAAGATAAAAATGATTAAACCAATGCTTCCCACACCTTTAGTTTTAACATGGAGGTGATGGATGAGGATATTAAGAGCATTTAAATATGCTTACAGTCAAGGTCTGGACCACTCAGGGTGGTATAATGTGGAACTGTCCTCAAATTCTTCAAAAAAAAACCGAGGAGAAGGGTATGCTTCACATTTTATAAAGCCATCATTATGCTGATATTAAAAGTAGACAAGAACACAAGAAAGGAAACTATAGCCCGACACCCATGATGAACACAGGTGAAAAAATCCTTGGCCCTCCCTAGTGGCACAGCAGGTTAAAGCACAGCACTAAGAAGCTTAAACCACTTCCGCGTGAGTTCGATTCCCGCCTTCCCCGGAGGAGATCCACATGGCCCGGCAGACCTCTCCTGGCCCACCCGCTGCTCCCCTCAGCAGTGTACTTCATAGATCTGCCTGCTCTGCTCCCTGCTCTGTCTCTGGTGAATCCTCTCACCCTCCGCATCTCTGGCTTGTACCCCAGTTCTGTGTGAATAAATAAAATCTTTAAAAAAAAAAACTCCTCAACAAAATCTTAAGAAACTGAATGTAGCAATACATGGAAAGGATCCTATCACATGACTAAATGGAAATTAGTCCAGTGCTGTATGGTTCAACATCTGAAAATCAATCAATGTAGTCTACCACATTAACAAAAGGCAAGACAAAAATAGATGCAGAAAAGGCATTTAATAAGGTTCAACTGCCCTTTATGGTAAAACCCCACCAAAATGGGGGTAGGAGAAACATACATCAGTCTAAAGTGAATCGGTGACAAACCTCAGCCTCCCCACCCATCTCTCACCCATATCTCTCCCAAGTATCTCTGCATATCTCTCATCCATGAGTCTTTAAGTTAATAAAAAGTTTATTTATAAGACAAACAATGAGCTAGAAGAAGTAATCAGGAAAATAAACCCATTTACCATCGTATCAAAATTAATTCCTAGGAATATACTTAACACTATACAGTGGAAACTATAAGACATCATTCAAAGAAATAAAGCAGATAATGCCTGCTTATGGATTGAATTAACATTTTTAAAATGGTCATCTTACCCAAAGTAATAAACAGATTCCATGCAATCCCATCAAAGTTTCAATAGAACAAATGAAAGGAACTATAAAAATCTTTATAAAGCCAAAACAATCTTGACCCCCCAAAAATAAACCAAACCCCCCCCCAAGAACAGAGTTATCATAGTCTACAACTTCAATCTAAACTACCAGGTTATAGTAATCAAATTACGTGGTATGGGGGTAAAAGTAGGCAAACAGATCAATGGAATAGAATTGAAAGTCCATAAATCAACCACATCTGTTAACAGCTGATCTATGACAAAGGAGCCAAGAATCTGCATTGGAGAAAAGAAAATGCCTTCAACAAGTGGTGTTGGGAAAATTTAACAGCCACATGCAAAGAAATGATATGAGACAATTATTTCAGACCATACTCAGAAGTTAACTCAGAATAAATAAGCATTGCCAAAGGATGCTGAGGAGAAGAAACCCTCTTACACTGTTGCTGGGAATGTGGACTGGTCTAGTCCCTATGGAAAACGGTATAGAGGTTTCTAAAAATATAAAAAATGGATCTAGCATATGGCCCAGCATGCCCACCTTTCAAAATTCTCATTCAAAGGAAAATAAGCACTTCTATGTTCAGTGAAACACTCTTACAATGGCCAAACTACACAAAGTACCTTACTGCCCAATAACAGATGGAGTGGAAGGAGATGGGGTATACACACAGTGGAACACCCCATATCTATAAGATAGCTGAATATTTGTCATGTGTGACAACATAGATGCAACTCAAAGTGACTGTGCTGAGTTAAATAAGTCAGGAAGAGAATAACAGACAAATGCTGAATGATTTCATCACATGGAAAACAGGCAAACAAAACAAAGGTTCAGACAAAAACAAACCCTAGAAATCTGACTTTAAAATGAAGACTACCAGAGGGAAGAAGGGGGTGTGGAAGGTGGAGAGCAAAATGGGGTGGCCCAGAGGATGATGTTGGAGGATGCTGGGTGCTTTGCTGATAGGTGTGATTGGACAACAGATATTGAAGAGGTGCAAACTTCTATAACTGTTAAATAAAGAAGTCATTTCACAAATAAATTAACTGAGAGTCTTAACACATGGCAAAAGGCAATTAAATTGTATCTCCTAAATCTAACATTAGTGTTTTTGTTTGTCTGTTTGTTTGTTTGCTTTTAAAGATTTATTTATGCTTACAGAACTGGGGTACAGGCTAGAGGTACAGTGGGTGAGAGAATTCACCAGAGACAGCGTGGGGAGCAGAACAGGCAGATCAAGGAAGAGCACTGCAGAGGGGAGCAGCGGGTGGGTCAGGAGAGGCCTGCTAGGCCATGTGGGTCAGCCCCCTGGCTGGGGATCGAACTCATGCTGCCTTGACTTTGGAGAGCTTCACAGTGTTTTGCGTCAACCCGTTGTGCCACCAGGGAGAACCCTAACATTAGTGTTTTTACCATTTCATCCCACCATCCTCAACTTCATCTTCCAGCAACTTACCTGCCTACCAATTTGATGTGATATTTATGCAAGAAATCTCTAAAAGTAAAAGCAAACTCCACCTCCCACCACCACCTCTTTTTTTCATTACTGGTCAGTGAGACCTCCTCTGTATAGATTCCGAATCAAGGTTGAAATCAGGAAAAAATAATATTCAATAATATCGCAGATGATCTTGAAAAGTGACCAGACCCTTACTCTCTCTTGTTAATGTGTCCACAGTTTCTCCTTGCCTAGGAATGTGAGCACTTCTGAGGACAGATGCTCAGTGGGCTCCGTATGGAAAGCAGTGCACTGCCTGCTTTCACGAGAATGAAACAGCAGACACTGAATTAAAGGATCGACAAACTTGCTGTGTACCCCACCAAGTGATCCCACCCAACATGCAAAGGCACAGCCTTGGTTGGGATGAACCAAGGGATGAGAAGGAACAGATCTGAGACCTAAAAACCCTTCTCCATTTCGCCAACGGAATGCTTATTTGATGACAAAATTGATCTTTCTACTCTGTGATAACTAAGACTGTGATTCTTAGTAGCCCCTCCTGCATTTATTACACAAGTCATGTTTATTAGCAAACTCCTCTGGTACTAGACGCATGGTGTTATGTCTTTAAAATTTATGGGGAGCCGTCAAAGAAAAGCTAAATAAAATCTGGTCTTAAAAGAGCCTTTAAATGTGTGAGTATGAGCCCTCATCAACACCATTTCCTTTGCTGCTTCAATAACAATTTCAAACTAACCTATACCCATCACATTCCTGCTTAGAAGTCACAGTGACATTTTCTGCTCCCCCTGGTATGCTCTGATGCCTTTTCTGTATCATTTCTCCTGGAGACTTTCACCACCCACTCGCCTTCCCACCTCAGGGGGCCTGAGTTTCTTTCCTTCACACACACCTCCCACTAACATGACATGGGCAAAACTGTAACAGAGACTCTCCATAAAAGGGAGGTGCTGGGCCCTCCCTTGTGGTGCAGTGGGTTAAAACGCAGCACTACAAGCTAGCGGCAGCTGCTCAGTACAAGTTTGATCCCCACCCAGAGGCACAGACTGATATTCCATCATCTATTCAGATGATGGGATAATGAATCCACATGGCGCTGCAGACCTCTCCTGTCCCGCCCGCTGCTCCCTCAGCAGTGTACTTCGTCAATCTGCCTGTTCTGCTCCCACCTCTGTCTCTGGTGAATCCTCTCACCGCCCTGCACCTCTGGCCTGTACCCCAGTTCTGTATGCATAAATATATATTTTTTAGAGGGACGTGCCATGTTCCCCACCCCCATTTTCAAGTAGCCCCTTGGATTAGCTACTGGGAGCTAGGCGAGGAGCTGACCAGGTAAGCAGGCGATGCTGTAAAACACTGAAGGCAGGTAGGCTCAGAGGGACTTGTGGAAAAGGGCAGCTTGCTTCTCAGTTTTGGACCTACAATAGGGACTTGGGGGCCTTGGAGACGTGTGGAAGAGCGACACAAGGGGAGGCTGAACATGGCAGCTTTTATCTCTACTTGTGCTTTGATTTTGCACCTTTGTCCCAGATAAGTCCTGCACTTTATGACCCTTCCCTTATGATCCACTGCCAGAAGTTGCCTTAGGCTCAGCAAAGTTTCCGGGGCCCAGTGGCCCTGTTTCAGGACAACCTATTTGGTTGGTCATTTACCCATGAGAGAGTGAGTAACTATGGGGAATTATTCTTTTTTTTCTCTCTCCCTTCCTCCCACCCTGCACACTAATCCTATTAAATTCTTTCGAAGTAGCAC